AAATGGCCCCCACAGGCTCACAGGATTAGGAGGTGTCACATTGTTGGAGAAGGTGTGTCACTGGGGTAGGCTCTGAGGGCTCAAAAGCCACAGCCATTCCCAGTTAGGGCACTCTCAGCTACTATTCTAGAGCCATGCTGCCTGCCTGCCACCATGTTCCTCACCATGATGGTTATAACCCTCTGAAACCATAAACCCGCATAAACTGTTTCTTCTGTAAGTTGCCTTGGTCATGGTATCACATCTGAGCAAATATGAAAGTAAGACAACATTTAAAATAAAAAATACCAACAAACTGGACTACATTATAATTAAGAACTTACAAAAAAAAGAACATTAAGAAAATAAAAACAAAAAGCATAAACAGAAGACATTTCCAAGATCTATAATGTATCTAAAATAAAGAACTTCTAATCAGTTGAGAAACAGACAAAATGGATCAGTATATAAAAAGTATTCTGAGGAGTTCAGCTAACAGATAAGGAGCTCAAGCTCAGTAGACATCAGGAAAGCATAAACGAAAACTAGTACAAATTCAAATTCAAGGCTGGTGAAAACAGGGCTAGCGGGGGAGTGGCTCTGTTGGTAAAGTACTTGCTTTTCAGGCTGGAGACTTGAGTTCAATTCAGAGTCCACATAAGAAAAGTAGGACTTGGTGAAGCACCCTTGTAATGTCAGTGTTGGGGAGGTGAAGATGGGGATCCCTGGGGCCTCCTAACCAATCAGCCTAGGTTATCTGGCAAGTTCTAGTTCAGAGAATGTGTCTCAAAAAAGAAAGAAAATAATACTCAAAGCCCAAGGAAAAACATCAGAGGTATCCTCTGGCCTCCACAAGCACACACATCTGCAACCACACAGAGAACTGGGGAATATGTGGAACAAACTGAACTTCCAAACATTGCTGATGGGAGTTAAAATCACTAAACTTTAAAATTAAATATAAACACACTTCTTGGCAACATAACCAACCAAAATGTGTGTAACTGGACACAAGAATCATGAAAAAAAGTACCAGTATTATTCCTAGTGACCCACTAGCTGGAACTAACTCGGATGTCCATCAAAATAATAGGTGCGCGATTAATTAAAAACTGCCAAGTGTATATGCAATTAAAATGAACTAATTCTATCTATATGTGATGATATAGATAAATTTAAAAATATCATGAATGCCAGCTGTGGTGGCGCATGCCTTTAATCCCAGTACTTGGGAGGCAGAGCCAGGCAGAGCTCTGTGAGTTCGAGGCCAGCCTGGTTTCTACAGAGAGAGATCCAGGACAGGCACCAAAACAACCCAGAGAAACTCTGTCTGGAAAAAACAAACAAACAAACAAAAAACTAAAAAAATATCATGAATGATGAAGCACAGAAGAATACATGGTTCATGATCTTACTTTTTAAAACTAAAACACAGAAAAACTAAATTAATAAATAAAATTAAAGAGCCACTATGGGGTTAGGGAGAAACCTGGTACCAGGGAAACTCTCAGGAATCTAAAGTATGACCCAGCTAAGACTCCTAGCAATAGTGGAGAGGGTGCCTGAACTGGCCTTCTCCTGTAACCAGACTGGTGAATACCCTGTCATCATAGAGCCGTCATTCAGTAACTGATGGAAGCAGATGCAGAGATCCACACCAAGCACCAGGCTGAGCAGGGAGGAGGTATTATATGAGCAAGGAGGGTCAAGACCTTCATGGGGAAATCTACAGAGACAACCAAACCAAACTAGTGGGAACTCCTGAACTTTAGACCAACAGCTGTGGAGCCTGCATGGGACTGGACTAGGCCCTGTGCACAAGCGAGACAGTTGTGTAGCTTCGTCTGTTTAAGGGGCCCCCGGCAGTGGGATCAGAATCTATCCCTGGTACGTGAGCTGGCTTTTTGGAGCCCATTATCTATGGTGGGACATCTTGCACAGCCTTGATGCAGTGGGGGAGGGTCTTAGACCTGCCTCAACTGAATGTAACAGGCTTTGTTGACTCTCTATGGGAGCCCTTACCTTTTGGGGGGAGAAAATAGGGGGTGAGTTGGAGGGGAAGACTGGGGGTGCTAGCAGGAGGAGGGAAGAGAGGGATATGTGGTTGGTATGTAAAATGAATAAAAAATTTCTTAATAAAGAAAAAAATGAAAAGAGAGAGTGGTTATCTTTCACTATCATTGAGGAAAAGGGAGGGATAAGTTTTTAGAGGTTCTAGCCATTTCTCGACTTGAATTGTATTACAAGAATTTTTCACTTTGCAATGATGCACTTGGCTTGTTTTCTCTTGTGTATGTTATAAATAAACAAATGCACATAAATATGCATATGTACTAGCCAGTTGCTTTTGTAAATTTTGGAGACATTGGTGGTATCATGTAATACTCAAGTTTATTAATGTATCATTTTTTTAGTACCCTGAAGACATAAAGATATAATCTTATGGATTTGAAAAAATTAAAGATTTATTGTATTTTGTTTGAGGCCAACCTGGGCTACACAGAGAACTGAAGGCCAGATTTTCTCAAAACAAAACAAACAAAACCAAACGGAAGCAGTGAGAAGTAAGACTGACAGAAATAGAGAGCAGGAGAGGTGGATGGGAGGATGGACAACATTCATCTGTGTCTCAGCAGGTAGTGAGATGGTGTGGTTACTAGGACAACTCACATCTTTAACTGGCACCCCAGGTTTTCATGTCTTCATACACCTTACAATTCCATGCTCCCTTTCCCTAAATATATAAAATTCACAAAGGCTTTGCTGCTTGTTTGAGAATTTCTTTTTCTGCTCTACTGGTCTTTTACTGAACTACCATTCAGTTTTCAATTAAAAATAAATTGTCTTGCTTAGGGTTTGCTAGTACTTGGAACTCAATTTTTACCTAAGAATTACGGTTGCTTTATTCTTCTAAAATTTAGATATCCCTCCATCATGCAAATTCACTCATACAATTCCTGTCCCACATCAGATTGTGGCCAGTTATTCATCTTTATTGATGTGAAGTTTTTCCCACTTCAAACCTAAGAAATAACATCATTGTTGTAGTGTCGTGATTTTAGTGTGTGCGTGTCGGGGAGGAGAGACAGACAGGCAGGCAGAGAGAGATACACACAGACAGACAGGGAGGAAAGAGGAGGAGCGAGCACCAGGCATTAAACATGTACTAGTTACCAAGCTAAGGGCTTCATTTGTCTTGTCCCAATTAAGTCTCACAACTCCATAGAATTAGAGTGTTCTTACACTCCTAAGGGAAAAACAACAAAAACAAAACCAGAGGCACAGGAACCTAAGAATTTTGCCCAAGATCAAACTTAAGTGTGAGAGCTAGGCAATCTACCTACAGAAACAAATTTAGAGATTATGTCCTTAACCTCTGGTCTATGATACTTCCAACGCGGTGCATGTTCCCCTAAGCTTCCCTGTTGCTCAAGTCAAGAACCCGAGCTGCTCTCTCCTTTTTTCCAAACCTCTCAGCTTTCAATCTCTGCATCCTCCTTAGGTCACTTCTTACCTACGATGACTGTAGCTAACTGACCTGTACTCCTCTATAAACCTCTATATCCTGTTCGAGCCAGCCTGGCTGTCTTTAAACACAGCATACTCCCAGTCCCTCCAATGCTGCAAATACTTGGGATACCTAAACCACTCTGACCAGTAAACACATACTGCTAAGTCAAGTTTCTGTCCAAATCTCTGGCCATGGTTTAATAACTACGTAAGTCAATGTTTGTTTAGCACCATGTGTCAGATGCTATTCTCCTTTATAGCTCAATGTTTACTCAATAATCTCATCAACTCTACTCGGTAACTGAGGCAAACGAGTCAGCTGCTGCTGCTGCTGCTGCTGCGTCAGTGTATTTATGGGATTTATGTATCTCCCTCCGCCAATGGCATGCTTGGGGAGCAAGAATATCTCTATCCTTACATCAGCTATGTTTGTGTAGCACCTGGCACGTAATAAAACAGTAGCTCAACAAACATCCTTTCCACTAATGACCAGAGCAGTGCCTGCGGGTCCCTAACTGCAGACTTGGAAACTCCTCCTGGCCCATCAGAGCCCCAGAGAAGCATAACAAACCGATTTCGTGTCTAGCCGACTCCTAAGCACGCTTAAGGAATCCACGAGTATTTACCAACGGCTCTGCTTCGCTAAGTACAGACATAATCTCATGTACATCACCAAGCATTCTGTGAAGCGGACTTCTCTTGAGTTTTTACATATTTCCACGCTGGGACACAACCACAATCAAAACATATCAGTAGGTCAACGACAGCGACACTGCACCTTGCAGCTGAATTTTCCATCAGGGAATAGGGCGCTTACTTTGGTCTTTCAGTAAGTCGAATTCTGTGGCCATTTCGATATTTTAGTTTGGAGTTTTCATCACCTTTATCGATTCCTCGCAGGGGGTGGGGGGCGCAATAAGATTTTTTTAAAAAACAAACAAAAACCCAGCCTCCCGCTGTGAGGGAAAGCAAACAGCTAAGGGGTCGCCGTGGCAGCCGAGCCCCGGCGCGGAGGCATCAGCATCCCACTCACGCGGCGGCGCAGCCCGGCCCGCAGCTCCCCCGAAGCCAGGCGACGGCGCGTCAGCCTCCGCTCGGCCGGACCCGGG